TCTATCTATCTATCTATCTATCTATCTATCTATCTATCTATCTATCTCTATATGCCTATATCTATGTCTACCTACCTACCTACCTACCTATCTATTGTTGAAAGAAATATTCTTCTGGGTTCAGTTCCAAGTGGGGAAAAAGACACTGGAAACGTGGAGGCTGTTTGGAAGGTTTAATGGTGGACAGGACCACATGGCCTGGTCCACATACAAATACCCGCGAAAATCTCAGAAAACATATATATATATGTATGTATGTATGTATGTATGTATATGTATATGTATATGTATATGTATGTATGTATATGTGTGTGTATACTGTATATACTGTATATACTGTATATACTGTATATACTGTATATACTGTATATATGATAGATGGATATAAAATCCCTTCTTGCATTCAGTGGGCTGGCCTTGCGCTTAAAAGCTGGTTCTTGATTGAACAATTGTGGGTTTAGCCGATTTCAAATATTGGCACTCAAACTCTGCATCTAATGCCACTTTGCATTTTCAAAGCCTGCCAAAAGCACAATGTTGACTTTGGAACAAATTTCCATTTAGCCCCCTATGCTTCTTTTGTACCTTTTGTCCTCTGCTGAATTGTTTTCCCACCTGCTTTGGAAAAAAAAAAAAAAGGAAAAGAGAAAAATGGCTGTTTGGGGGAAGAGCGGAAGGGCAGGATAAATTCTACTTCTTGTCCTGGGTAATAGGAGGAAGTTGAAATAAATAGAATGGGTTGAATCACTGCAGCTTATACTGCATTGGGGAGGCCACACTTGAAATACTGCGTCGTCCTCTGGTCCCCATGATGTAAAAAAGATGTTGAGACCCTAGAAAGACAGAGGTGGTATTCAGCAGGTTCTGACCAGTTCTGGAGAACCGGTAGCAGAAATTTTGAGTAGTTCAGAGAACCGGAAAACGCCACCTCTGATTGGCCCCGCCCCCACCTGTTCTCTGCCTCCCATTGAGTCTCAACTGGTCGGCTGGGAACTGGAGGCTAAAAGATACAATGAACGGTTGCAGGAACTGGGCATGGCTAGTCCGGTGAAGAGAAGGACCAGGGGAGACAGGAGAGCATCTTCCAATATTTGAGGGGCTGCCACAGAGAGGATGAGGGAGTCAAGCTATTTTCCAAGGCACCCGGAGGCCAGACAAGGAATAATGGATGGATACTGATCAAGGAGAAATTTAACCTGGAAATAAGGAGAAATTTTTTGACAGAACAATCAAGCGATGGAACAGAAGTTGCCTTCAGAAGTTGTGGGAGCTTCTCCACTGGAGGCTTTCAAGAAGAGACTGGACTGCCATTTGTCAGAAATGGTGTAGGGTCTCCCACTTGGGCAGGGGGTTGGACTAGATGACCTATATGGTCCTTTCCAACTCTGATTATCTTGTTATCTGGCTGGGTCTTTGGTTGCCCTGCACAGGAGAACGGAGCTGGAAAGCAGGTTAGTGGGGTGGGGAGGGAATGTGGATTTTACAGTATCCTTTCCCTGCCATGCCCACCAAGCCACACCCACAGTGGGTTAAAATTTTTGAATCCCACTGCTGTAGAATGTAGAGAAGAGCAACAAAGATGATTTGTGGTCTGGAGGCTAAAACATATGAAGAATCACCATCTCTGGTCTAGTTTAATGGTAAGAAGGTCTATGGATGACATGTTAGCCATCTTCCAGTACTTCAGAAGCTGTCACAGAGAAGAGGAAATTGACCTATTCTCCAAAGCATGAGAAGGCAGGACGAGATAGTTGTTCTGACCCAGGCTTCGTCAAATGTAATAAAACACAAACTGAATTTTAAAGTAACACTTTTTTAATGCGACGCTGGGAATTACTTGCATTCCCAGCCAAAACACATCAGGCACAGTTCCTCCAGATAAGAACACGCTTTTCAGTGCTGTCAAATGCTGCCAAGAAACAGAAGGCTAAGGCTAACATAAACCAACCCCAAAACCCAGAAAAAACTGACCAGAGTATAGAGCTTCATGAAGGACTCAAGAGAGTACTGAACTGCTTTCTTCCTGCAAAGTTCTTTGTCATTGAGGACTGACTTTTATCCCTGATGGGAGTGGCAATCACCTCCCAGCCTTATTCCCGAGTTGTTCCTTCTGTTTCAGCTGCTCTCACCTTCTAGCAGCTCTGCGCATACGCCCACTGGTAACAGGCTCCCCTTGTTCCTCTGCCTCACTGCTGCCAGATTCCAAAGGCAGCACCTCACTCTCAGATGGTCCTGGTCCCATCCCTGCATCGGATGCAGGACCCTCGTCCGAGTCCTCTCCAGACTCCCTGACTGGTTCCCTTTCATCCTCACTGTCCGATACCGCTGCCATCTGCACCGGCTGCCGGCAAACCACAACAAAAGTAATGGATGGAAACTGATCCAACCCAGAAGCGAAATTTCCTGACAGTGAGAACAATTAACCAGTGCAATGGTTTGTCTCCAGGCATTTTGGGTGCTCCATCACTGGAGGCTTTTAAGAAGAGACTGGACAGCTCCATCCAACATTTTTTTTAAAAGAAGAGACTGGACAGCCATTTGTCTGAAATGGTATAATGTTTCCTGCTTGAGCAGGGGTTGGACTAGAAGACCTCCAAGATCCCTTCCAGCCCTGATATTCTATGACCTAATTCTTTCAAGATCAAGGAAGAATTGTGGAATAATGTGAATGTAGAGCTGCTCCCACTTTCTGTATTTGAGATTTTCCAAAACTCTTTCCCCCCACCCCTTCCCCTTCCAATCACATCTTCTCGCCATCCCTTAGCCATTGGCCTGCTAACTATTTCAAGCAGGAGGAGGCACAATGAAATTCACCAGCACGGCTCTGGAGTGTCACCTGCGTTGATCAACCTCCAGGAAATGTAGTTTCTTTGAGCTATGTCTGAACTATCCCTCTCCAGAGGTTGCTGAATTAAATTCTCTGCATTCTTCTAACTAGGGACTTAGAAAGAAACAACCTGCAAAAAGCCACGGTTTAAATATTGTACTAAGCCGCTTTCTTTTTGGACAAGCAGAATGAAAACCACCAGTGTAAATAGGATGATGATGATGATGATGACAAAGTCGCAACAATGGTGCATTGGACGATCTGCAAGAAATATCATTTGCTTGTAAGCAAGAACTGGTGGGACCATAAAATAGAAAAAGTCATAGAAAATGAAACATTAAATTGCTCTGGGACTTCAGAATCCAGACAGACAGGCCCCTACCACATACCACCCCAGATTTAACAGTTGTTGATAAGAAAGACCAAAAAGTGGATGTGGCAATGCCTGGAGTTAGCAGAAGAGAAAAGAAAGTACTGGAGAAGATAACAAAATACAAAGACCTACAAATAGAAATAGAATGACTATGGCAAAGGCAAACAAGGGTAGTACCATTAGTCATAGGCACCTTGGGTGCAGTCCCTAGTCAACTGGAGCACCACTTGAACACCATTGCTGGCATTGACACATTTACCATCAGTCAATTGCAGAAGGCAGCTTTACTTGGAACAGCTTCCATCCTGCGGCGATCTCTGTTAACACCATGAAACATCCAGATTTGCCTATTCCAGGTCCTTGGTAGGTAGACAAAAATGCCAAATCCAGTCTGAACATCTGGTTGATTGTGTGATTAATAATAATAATATTATAATCCTGAATTTATCAGACTTGAATACCCCGATTCCACAAAAAACCACCATACTTGGAACAGCTTATATCCTCCGACGCTACCCGAACAGTTCCTAGGTCCTTGGTTAGGACTCGAGCTGTTGAGCTACCAACCAGCTCCAAAGGCTGTGAACCTCACTAAAGATTAAATAGTAATAATAATAGTAA